ATGTCCGTGGTATTGTTCATGCTCGTATATAGACAACGGTTCCCGTTTGTGATCAGGTGGGGCCATCACCGTGTTTGTCAATCCAATTATCTCTTTTTTCAAATATTTATATTCAATATTATTACCATCTATCACTTGTTGAATTTCGTATCACCTATTTTATTCCTATGAAAAAATTTGGTTATCTTTAATGATCTATGATCGCCTTCTCCCTGGTACTTTCATAAATAATAAAAAAGGTATATAATTGCTTTTATAGTCATTTAAACCTGCTAATTTTATTTGAGAATTTTATAACCTTGTCCTTGACCTTCTTTTTCATATCCCTCGTCACTTCTCACTTATTCTCGATAACGATTTCTACCATTCTTCAGACCTGTCATTTTGTATGTATCTGAATCTTCTTCTTCCGGCCTTATCCTATTTCATTTCATTTGGGGTGGGCTCTCCTAAACTGCCTTCTCCATTGGTGTCTATTTTAGACTGTTGCCGGCTCTATGTTTCCCATGTTCTTAAGGTAACTAACTACTGATATCCATGTTAATCGAGGTCGTCCACGCTTTTTCGGTCCTGAATTAAGGTCGAGAACTTTTCTCGTCAAGTGTTCTTACGGTCTCCTCATGACATGGCCATACCATTTTATGTATCTGAATGTTGGGTCTTATAGGGAATGGACGAAAGAGGTGCGCATGAGGCAGATATGTTAATGTTAAGATGGATATGTGGGTTATCAGGAATGAATTAGGAAGTTTGAAAGTTGCGCCAATTATAGACAAGTTGTGAGGTAACAGGTTGACTTAATATGGACATGTTTGAGGTAGATGTCTTAAAGAGAGTATTTAACGTGAACGTGGAGATGACGACCCAAAAAATTGATTGTTTGAAAGATGATATGTATAAAAAGAGAGTTTGCTCGCAAGAAGAGATTAGACGGTCAATTGCGGAAGCGACTACAAATAAAGGTAAGGCGATGATGGGAAATTTCTGTCTTTCTACACTGCTGTACCTCGTTGTATCTAATTTTACCCTGTTCGATCTCCTTCTACTCAGACCTGAAATTTTACATGTTCTATTCTATTTAACTCTATTCTATTTTATCAGGTTGGACAGGATTGTTTATTGGTGGACAATTTCACGACGAGCGCCATCTATTAAAAGTAATCCGAAATAGCGATTCCTATACCAATATATCAAATATTGATCTTCAATTTTTACTTAAACTTAATTAAAGTTAATCAAATCGTTGGAGTGTTAGTAAGATTATACAAGACAAATCAACATTATTGATTTTTAGTCATTACTTTCTTAACTGATTTTTAAACAATAGTCTAGCACCTAAGATTTAATATACATTTTATATGACATGGAGGATTTATGTAAATTCGTCTTTTCTTCTTGATTCTAACCCGCTCTCTATTTCGCTCTATCCTGTTCTACTTCATTCATTCACAATAAAAAAAAAAGTTTTGGAAATTTATTGATTCTATCACCATTTTTTTTATAATTTCATATGAACTTTATTACAACTAACTCTGACTTCGTCCGTGTGAAATTTAACTTTATTTATATTAAAATAAGTAAATTTAAAAATAAAAGCAGTGTAAGTTCATCTTTATTACATTACTTATCTGCAAGTGAAAGTCCCGTTAAATCCCAATTCAGAGATTAACAAGAACAGACAGTCAGATTATTAAAAGAAGTTAATTTGAAATTACAACCAGTCACTATAATTTTATTTATTGGTATAGTTTAATATTTTTTTTCAGATTCTTTTCTGAAAATATTATTGTTATATCTTTTAAGTAATAGTGTAAGTATTACACTATTACATATATTATAGGTATACACCGTAAATTATTTATAATTAATAATTAGACTTATTCTAAGTATCTATATTGGATCTTCATGAAAAAACATTTTAAGTTAGAGTTTACTTAGAAATCTAATTTACTTCAAATAATTAAATAAGTTACATAGTTATGATGGACTTAAAAAAGTATTTTATATAAATCACACTTCAGATCTCCTTTAAAAAACGATCAACAAGATAATGTAATTGCCGACGGCTCAAATGACTTACAAAGATCTACGTGAAATATGTATGTATATGGTTAGAATCAATATTAAGCTGATTTAATCGTGATTAGCGGCTACGAAAGTTCATTCCGTGACGCCTTGCTAAATTTGGGCAGTAATAACTTGGAATTTCTACTGTGAATAAGAAATCCAATCAGATTTTATGAACTATAAATTAATTCTAATCTTATACACTAATTAATATATTTCTTATACTTACCGAAAATAGAATACATCGCGATTACACGCGCGCTTTTAAAACTTATAAAAACCGGTAAATTTTGAAGTTAAAAAGTTAACGAAAACTAAACACAGGAACACTTCTAAAATTATTAATATTCTAGATAAGAACACCAAGTTTAAGAAAAAGTATTTAAAGTTGGATAAGTATCTTTAAGTTGATTCGAATGTTTACATACACAGAGAGAGGTAGCGCTGGGCGATTTTCGGCGCGGTTGCCCGTACCCTCAAGCGCTCACCCCTACTGTGAATAAGGGTTGATGCCGCCGAGCTTTATATCTGAGGAATCTACTGCGCCGAGAACCTGCGCATGACTGTGATTCACCTTTTGTGTACATTTTATGTGCGTCGTTTATACGATGTATAAGTTATTAATTATTTCATAATAATAATATTTTCAGGACAATTCATACAGCGCCATCTAGAGCTAAATTAGTAGTATACAAATACATAGATTTTTTTTCGTCAATGTTATATTATATAAGTTATACATAAAAAACACCCAGACCGATACAAACAATATACTCATGAACAAATGTTTGTGCCGTGTAAGGGATCGAACCCGCGTCCATCGGAAGTCGCCTTCCCATGGTTGCGGGCGCGATCCTATGTTATTTCTGTACTAAACCGCTAAATTACCGAGGTCGTCATTTCATATAAAATTAAATTGAATTATGTAAGTCAAATTTTTTTTTAACGTTTATTTTTTTAATTAATAAATAATGTTTGAAGTCTTGAATTAGTTTAAAATGAATAATAATAAAGAAATAGCTTAAATTAGTTTGTATGTAGGAAGTCATCTTCAATATTCTGATAGATTTTCATCAATAAAATCAACGTAATAAATAACAGTAATGCATTTCTAATAGAAATAGATACAGAAATCCGAGACGAGGGTCACGTACGACCGAAGTCACGAGCTCTTAAAGAGCTTCATCTCGATCGTTCAGTTCTCAAGTTGAAAATCTATCACTATGAAATAATTTACAATAACAAAGTTTACAACTTAGAAAGTGTAAAGTTTGTAATTGAAGATTTCCATGCTAATAATTTTGCAATGATTTTCTACTTAATAGAATTTTCCTGTCCTTCTATCAGTTATTCTTTGTAGACAATTTTCCAACGTTATTATTCATTTTTCTTAAGTAGAAAAGTCTCATAATATTGAAACTATGTTTTTAATGATACAAAGTTCAAGTTCAAGTTCAGGATTTAAATTTTCCATTTATTTTACAATTACATTTTTAACTAGCTTTTCCTGAGACGTCGTACGCGTAATATTAGAAAATTACATTTTTATATTTTTATGCTCAGTTTCAATATTAGTTTCTGTTAGGCACGTGCATTAAAAAAAATGGTATGTATTTCTCTTGTAGCTGTTCTATTTTACCTCAAAATATTAACAAGCGCTCCCAGAAATATGTTATTTTTTTGTTACCGTTGTTACTGTTTCATTTCGTTACCAGTATAATATAGCGAGGATGAGAGTGAGATGGTTGCTTTATTATGATATAAGCACAGTACCAGTTTTAAAAGTTTATTTAGTTATATTATATATTTTAGTCTAATTATATTATTTAGCACCCTATAATTAAAAACCCCTGTTAAACCCAGTTTATAATTGATAAACTAAATTACTTTACATTCTTAACATTAGATGAAATAGCTAAAATATGGAATGGCTACTTTAAGTTATGAGGTAAGACAGAGCTCGAAGGGGCGATAGACCTATTGGGATCGTCGGTGCGTGCATCACGCGAACTAAACGTAGCCAGTACAGGTGGTGTGACGCCAGACGTCGAAAACAACGGCTCGATATTGGCATACATGCGAACTTCCAAATTTTAATTATAATTGGAAGAGTTTTAATGCTCAATAAATTTATATCAAGCAAATTCGTATAAGCCGAAGTGGCAAATTGTTTTATAAAATTCCTTTCAAGTAAAGCAGTTCGAGTAAATATCAATTTCGGTTTATACAGCGACACGTTTTGTTATTGGTACTTAAAACTTTATAGCAATTGAGTACGGAATATTTTACTATGTTGTATATTGATTCGTTATAAAACTCATATAATGGGAAACTTGTGTATTAGTTTGAGACATCGAGGCGCGTCACAAAGCCTTTGCTTCCACGTGTTCCGGTACAACAAGTTTGTACCGGTAGATACACGTGGAAACTACGAGTACAGCATCAGTCAACGACAATTACGGTTCGTAGCAGTTTAATTATATTACATTATACTTAGGTACAAAAAATATATGGTTGTTTGTAATAGGACTTTAACATTTTAAAGGTATAATACACTATAATTATTTAAAATTATATTTAATATATGAACTGTCGTCGTTCTACGTAATCCATGACAATTGTAGATAAATTGAAAATTAAAAAGTTATGTCATAGACTTTTAGATATCTATTTATTTGTTACACAATGAATATTAAGTGAATGAAGATGAATCAGTCAGGATGAATGATTTTATGTATGTATATTTACAAATGTAATATGTACATATTAAGATAGTCGTTAAAGATAAGTTGAACTCGCACTCCCAAATTTTACAACCAAGTAGAATAAAAAAATATGACTATTCAAAAGTGCGTATTATGGTTTATTTGAATAAAGATTATTTCTATTTGTAATCTTTTTATAGGTATCCTTTTAAAAACAATGTTTCTTACCTCAGAATCCTCAGGTATCAAGGGTCGCCTTCGCAGGCCGCTCTCTTGATATCTTGAAGGTAGCACTGGATCTTCGCCAGACACGGCCCTTTGGTACGAGAGCCGTCTGCCCTTGTTATCAGATTTCTTTTCACCGATGCTCATAAGGTCCTGGTAAGATTTCCACATTGCTTCTTTATTGTGGGTATTGCTATCATCATTTATGACTTGTTTGAAATAATTCGCCATAGTTTCGCTGGCTAGCCATGTGACTCTGAAAGTTTAAAAACTTCATCATATATCTGAATACATGTGGATTACAAAATAAATTCAATTGAATTGCCAGTTTTTCTCAATTTAATCTGAACCTATACTGAACTGGACGGTAGGGAAATAATTATAATACAAAAAAAATTACGTTCATAACGCGAAAAAATGAATTTTGAATTAAAAAATAAATATTTGCGTAACTTATAAATTTTGTATAACTGTTATGTTTGTACAAATAAATATATATGAACTAGCTGTGAACCCCGGTTTCACCATCAGTTTAATTTCAAACCAATTGCGCCCACCCTCGGCGCATCACCCGCCTACGCTATTACTCCATTTTTGGTTAGCATTTATACTGATTTTTATTTGCTCGGCTCCGAAGGGTTGTAGAGTGGTGTTTAATCGTATACCATATAATTTGCTTCAAGAATTGGGCTATCAAATATAGAAAGGGTTTCATCCCACATTTCGGGTTTTAAATTTCGAATCCAAATTTCGGATATTCGTGCGCTCATTCAATCTTCATGTATAATTTTTGATATGCAACTGTAATCCTACTATATAATGTACTTTCGTAGTATTACAACAAAACAACTTATAAAAATTGTTACAGTATTTAACTTTCTCAATTATGAAACCTTTAAGATATGCAGAAACAAATCTATGGTAATATAAAGTTGCTTGACCTACGATAATCACATGATCATCATCTCATTAATCTAAAATTAAGAGTAATCTCAGTAATCTTAATAATATTATTAACGCGAAAGTTAGTAAGTATGTTTGTGACTCTTTCACGCCAAAACTACTGACCCGATTTTGACAAGACAAAACTTTACAGTAATTTAGCTTATGCATCAGAATAATATATAGGCTATATTTTTTATCGATTTTTATATGTAGAAAATTCATGCGGACGTAGCTATTTAATGCAATGGTCATAGAAGTAACGGTGTAAGTGACTAACGTAGGTACGGAGCACAATATGAGTTCACGAAGAACGCTTTATCTATTCCTACTTACCTAACCTGCCTTCGCACGGGTGTACATGTATTATACGGGTGCTGCTTGTGGGGACTGGTCTGTTTAGGTTGTGAACACTGATTAAGTTTTTTGTTCTTTGCGATAGCATATGCTGGTGGTCACTCTATTCCACTCTACTCCCAAATTTTAATTTTAAGGACTGTATATTATTATAAACATGTTCCACTATTATTTGAAAAAAAATACGAGCTGAGTTTCTTGTCAGTTCTTCTCATCTCGATATCATTCCGAACTGACGGTAGATTTGACATATCATAAGAGTCTGTAATAGACCTACATGAATAAAGATATTTTGAATTTGAAAATTTGAATTTGAATACATATAAACCTTCTTCTTGAATCACTCTATCTATTAAAAAAATCGCTTCAAAATTCGTTGCGTAGTTTTAAAGATTTAAGCATACATAGGGACAGACAGCGACAGCGATGTTTTATACTATTTAATGATGATTAGCTACAACTAATTTAAATTATTTTATAATTTAATGTTTTCGACACTATTATATTAGACTAAAACCTGTAATAATAGCTGTAAGTGTGTAAATGAATAAATACATATATGTAAAAACTGAGGTTTGTTATATCATTGTTTTTACGATACGATAATCTAAGATAAGAGAGAAATTACTAAATTATACAAATTTAATTTGACACATGTTAAAACGAGCCATCGAGGCCGGTGTCGGTGTAGGTCTGAGTTGTCAAATTTCATCAGACATGCTTCTGTCTGACGTTATTTTGTCTGCCTACACATGCATATTTTGTCTGCGACTATTTTTAGTTTATGTCTGGAACTCATGGTAATATTTCCAAATAGCAGACAGAAGGCTGTTTGTTACCTACATAGGATTATGTTTGCAAAAAAAATTTTTACATTTATATGTAAAGACGCATCATTTCGCACGAAGTATCATTATAATATTCTGTTAAAGTCTCAATTATTTAATCTTAAGTTTATTAACATACTTTGATTTATATAGTACTCTAGCTACTCGCCCCTGTTTCGCACTTGGGTGTATTATTTATATAAACCTTCGTCTAGAATACTCTATTAAAATAAATCGCTTCAAAATCCGTTGCGCAGTTTTAAAGATTTATACATAGGGACAGACAGCGACAGTGACTTTATTTTATACTAGGTAATAATAATGATAATTATACGTAAGGACAGTTGTTGTTATCGAATATGAGTATGTATAATATAATTTGATCTGATCTGACATAATTTGAATTTGAATAAAAGAATTTTTCCTGTTTTGTAAACAGGAAAAATTCTTGTTGTCTGAGTTGTCCTGATAACCTTAGAAAAAGGATATTTTAAAATTAATGTTACTTAAATGTAACAGACGTAATTTAGGTGATATAATTATGACACAAGATTATCTTTAGTCATTTTAATAGTTCAAGGATAAAAATTAATTGTAATTTGATCACATCAAACTTACTTCTGTATTCGAAATACAGAAGTAAGTTTGATAACCTGTAAGATAACCTTATTTAACCTAAGGTCTGTTTTATTTCTCCTGAATAATTAAAATAACGACGAAAAAACCCGCATCTATTGCGGGTTTTTTTCGTCGTTATTTTAATTATTATACTATAACTTCCAAAGACTATTTTATATTTAAAAACCCAAACAATTATATGATTAATATAATGGATGCGGAGTAGAGTTAGAAGAGTAATTGTGTATATCGTATTCTATAATACAAGCCAGTCTTCTGATACCTCAAAGAAGGTCACCTTATCAATGAACTCGACTTCAGCAAGACATGAAGCTAAAGTTTTCTCATTTATTAGATATGTACTCAAAATATAATAATCGGTTTTGGGTGCTGGATCAAAGAAGATAAAATTTAATATTCAAACATTAATAACTAGATCTTAATTCAATATTTTAATGACCGACAATAAGGTTTACTTAGATTATGAATGTGTAAATATTATAATATACTTTGTAGTTCTTAGTGGGAACAGTAGGTAAGACCCGATAAACCAATCTATGGTTAGACTAATTTCTAAAATTCAACTCTTGGCGGCCTTGGTGGTCTAGCGGTTTGACACACCGCTTTACTTCCGATAATCGCGGGTTCGATTTCTCAAACGGTGCAAATATTTGTATTCATGAGTATGATTGTTTGTATCAGTATAAGTGTTTTCTATGTAAAATATATCTATGCATTTATATCAATTGTTTAGTACCTATAACACAAGCTCTGTTTACTAGAATTAATTGTCTAGTATTATTATTATTACTATATATTAAAAAAAATATTAAAAAAGATCAAGAATGCCATTGTAGTGATTCAAGATTTCAACTAGTGTTGTAGTAATAAGAAAAAAGACTAGGTAAATGGAGAAAATACATGAATATAGACTACTGACAATTAGGAATAGAAAGAAGGAATTGAAGTATCAAAAAATAAGAATGTAATATAAAAGAACTATAAATTCAAATACAAATTTAGAATATAAAATACATATCTGATTAGCCAGTTACAACAACTAGGATACGTTAATTTCCGATAACGTTTCGTTAAGACAATACTAGTCTCGGCTCACTTCGTCGATCTTTAATTAATTAATCGTCGACCGTTCATTAATTATGAGTAATGCCAGCTCTAAATATTTCATTAACAATGTACAATTTTGTCATAGATAATATAATCCTATCACAGGAAATGTCTAACTATACAAATATGAGACGATCTAAAATTGCCATTTGAAAATGATTCATATTTACAATTGTAATATTTTACAGTTTTCTATGAGAATCGTTAAAATGCAGAGCTTATTGTACAGAAAAATAAATATAAATAATCCCTATTCAAATAAACTTAATACAAGTCGTAGAATAAAAAATATGACTATTCTAAAGTTATAGTCACATTTTTATATTCTACTACTCATTCTGAACGCAGACTCGTCACAAGAATGAGCAAGAAACTTGTGTGTTGCTGTTTGAATAAATCTAATTTTAAAGATTATAATTACACAATAACAAGCAAATAACAAAGGTAGAATATATTAAAATGGTCAAAATATACAAAGAAAACTCTAGTGGAAACCATCGTAATAAGTTCCCTGTAATTTATCACGATTGGCTAACTGACCTGACCTCATGCTTGTCCTCCAATGGTGCCGCGCCAGCGTAAACCATTAGCGCAAGCGGGTGCAACATTCTATTATCATCCATTAAAGAAAAATGATTTTTAGTGATTCTCATACAAATTGTCAATTATAAAAAAAACAATGATGACACATTGTTTTTTTTCTTCCTTATCCCATTTATATGAGGTCGGCGTAATATATTTTTCTCTTCCATTCATCCCTGTTAGCAAAAATCTCGTTATTACTGCTTTAAACAAATCAATGTATAACGGTTTAAAATGTATTTATGTAACGAATAACATATGGTGACAGTTTTGAACTCTATTGTAATTGAATCATTTAGCGATTACTGTACTGTTCATGTAAAGGCATATGTTTTATTCCGGTATACATAAACATTATTTATTTGATTGTAAACAGTATGTATTACTAATATTGTGCTAAGGGATCTAGAGACGGTCGAGCAGTTGAATTCATAGTTCGGTTTGAATAACAGAATTGAATAGTTCATGCTTTGATTAGAGAGGTTTGTTGACTTAATTGATTGGCTTAAAGCTTGATCTCTGTTGAACATTAATTGTTGTGGTATTCAGCGTATCGCCTTTACGAGTTTATATTACTAAATTTATTATATTAATCGTATTTAATCTTTGGTATTATGTACATAGTATATATATGGTATATATTTTCTAGCTGGCCTCGCAAACGTTGTTTTGCCATATGAATTAAAATCGCTATTAAAATAGGGGTTGGTTATGGAAGGGCGAAAATTTAAGTATATATTTTTTATGCCACTTTATAGAAAACATTGATGAAAAAATAAAATGTTAGTAGTGGACAACCTTAGATGAACAAACTTAGGGATATATAAATAGATAGTAACCGATTCTCAGACCTACTGCATGTGAAAATAAAAATTCATAAAAATCGGTCAAGTCGTTTCGGAGGAGTACGGTATGTAACATTGTGACACGAGAATTTCATATATAAGATATATTTTACAAATCAGTATTTCAATACTGATTACCTTAATTTTTTATACTGATGAGAACTTCGCACGAGCGAATAAAATGTGATTCGGAATATTTGTGATTTTGTGGTGAGCATAATGAAGTTACTGAAAGCAATCTGAACGTTAGACGTAATAGGGGATGGTAGGCAGTTATTATATTATCAAATATATTTTGATCATGTTCCAATACATGCGGAAAACGTATTCATCTTAAAACATTGTTAACCACCTACCCACCCCGGCTTCGCACGGGTGTACATGTATTCTACATACAAACCTTCCTCTTGAATCACTCTATCTATTAAAAAAACTTCAAAATCCATTGCGTAGTTTTAACGATTTAAGCATACATAGGGACAGACAGCTCGGCGATTTTATTTTATACTATATGATGATGTTAAAGTGGGGATGTTTGTTACGCTTTCATAGGGATAGAACGATTTTTTTTAGGGGTTTTTCAAGAAGGGTATATTAAGGTTTCTTAAGGGTCGGCAACGCGCAAGTGATACCCCTGGTGTTTCAGGCGTTCAACCATTTACCATCAGATGGGCCGTATGCTAGATTGCCACCATAGTAGTATAAAAAAAAACGATGTTTACATAGGGACGGACAGACAGCGACAGCGACTTTATTTTATGCTATATAATGATGTACACCCTTCCGAAGCCGGGACGAATAGCTAGTTTATAATATTAGTACAGATTATGAATAGAATTGCATCGTTACCTTTATAAACGTTTCCTAATACGTCCGTACATTAAAAGCTGAGTAACTGAGAGTTCAAGTTCAAGTGCATAACTAATTCTGAATCCCTTAGAGATCGGTTTGTGATATAATATGTCAGACAGATCTCGATGGAGTTCAGACTTCGAGATTATTAGATAATAGCAACTCAGTATAAAGGCTAAACTAATAATAAAATGTTTATACTAGAAGTGCCCGTCAGTCTGATGCATAAGCTATATTACTGTAAAGTTTCATCGAAGTCCGTTCAGTAGTTATTGTGTGCAAGAGTAACAAACATCGATACCTACAAAATTTTAGTGTTTATAATATTATTATATTAATTGGCAGATAAATGCGGTAGTATATATATAATACAAATTACATAAATAATTTATTTGTATTGTATTCAAGTTTTATTACATTACATACCGAAGTTTTTTATTTAACACATTTACTAAATTTTATTCTTATATATTTTTCTTCCATTGATTCATCCATCCACCAATACTTCTAAATCATCCATTTAACTTAGGTACTCTTATATTACATTTTTTAAATTTAAAGTTAATATAAATATCAAGAAGCAATTTTAAGTTAATAATAATTGTTTTCTTTGAGTGGCTCCACTGAAAATCACCGCTGCAGTAATACGATGGGACCAGCCGAGTGGAGGCACTTACAGCTCATGGCGCGATATTAGTTTTTAAGATTTTCTGTATTTTTACTCTGTACTATTCTATGCTGAATAAATGATTATTGTTATTATAAAAACAATTTTGTAAATAATGCATTATGCATTATTATTTAGTGAGTTAACCTTAAAATATAGACTTATATTGTCGTGGACGTTATAAAAATTATAGACCTTTTAAAGGAGAACAATTCAGTCATACATATTGTTTGCGTAGCTTTAACCATTTACACAGCGCACGCCTCTGAAATATTTTTCCAGCATGTTTCCAGTTATGTTATGTAGGCTAGTAGGGATATATAATATGGTAACAGTGAAATAATTTTTAAAATCGGATTAGCAGAATTGGTGGTTACCTCGAACAACAAACATACAAACTTTACCTGTTTATAATTAAGTATAGATTATATATAATACACAGTTAGATAAATAATTAATCTTGCAATGATAAATTACGTCAAGTGACCAATAAAAAGTGAAAACCAGAACTAAAAGAAATGTTTTTTTTAATATAACACTCTTTCGTTTTCTAACATTAAATTTATTTGAAATCATTCATCTATACCAGCGCCGGGAACTTTGCGGTGAAATGTCCTTTCACGCTTTCTGACTATTTATACAGTTCGCTACATCCGAAAGTCTAAACGTGTGAAAAGGCACTTTGAGTTTAATAAAATTAATGTAAGATATCGGAATACTATTTTTGTTAATATGAGCGTTTATAATTAGTTTTCACTATTATATATTTTTTTTTAAGAATGAAATTGTAAAAATAAATTTGTAAGCAATATTTGAAAAGAATACGAGTTGAGTTTCTTGTCAGTTTTTCTCATCTTGAAAGCATTCTGAGCTGAGGGTAGATTTGACATAACATAAGAGTTTGTAATAGATCTACATGAAAAAAGATATTTTGAATTGATTTTAATTGATATTACGTTAAAAACTGTACGTTTACTGCTAGATAGGATTAACTTTAGATACTCGTATCTATATAGAATACTATTTTTGTTAAATATAAGCATTTATAATTTTCAGTATTATATATTTTTTTTTATTTAGAAATGAATTTGTACTATTGTAAAGTTGAGTTTCTTGTTAATTTTTCTCATCTCGAAAGCATTCCGAACTGACGGTAGATTGGACACATCATAAGATTTTATAATAGACCTACATATATGAGTAAAAATATTTTGATTTGATTTCATATTACTTTAAAAACTATATATTTACCGCTAGATTGGTAAATTAGTCTTCTCATCTCGAAAGCATACCAAACTGGCGGTAGAATTGACACATCATAATAGTTTGTAATACACCTACATGAAACAAGATATTTTGATTTGATTTGATATTACTTTAAAAACTGTTTACCGCCAGATAGGTGAACCAAACACACCTACAGCTTAATATTAGTAGCTAATGGTGTCAACCGTCCACTTCAGTATTATGAGTATGTAAAACACTTTGAAAAAGTCAACAAAAGACTCCGCCGCCCCGTACCTGTTTGCGAGGGGGATCTGTCGCCCGCGCCGTTTGACTGCCGTGTCAAGGCCCGAGCTCATCGATATAGCACGAGAGTTTAGCAGGTTTTCCGAGGCACATGTGTCGTTCAAACCTGAAATTTTAATAAAGAATCTTTATACATTAGATCTACATATACATTACATTTAATTTAACCCCCGCCATTTTACAATACAAACTCAATCAACTGCACAGAGTAGTTGTAAACATCATACCCAAAGATTGTATATATACTACAATAATATACCCATTGGAAACTCGTTTCAACTCTCTAGTCTGCGACTGAGTACTAACTAATGCAACAAACAAAATTTTCAACATTGTTTCATTTGTTCGTAAGCGCCGGTTAAAAACTAGTTATAACTGCAAATGTTAAGCATTTTTATATAATCAACTGGTTCCAAACTTTATTGTGAATTGTATGTGATTTTTTAGTGTTTCTTATTTAATATCTAATGATTATTTCAAGTTTAATCAGAGTTATATTTAAGACCTATTGCCATTTATTAGAATTAATATCAGTGTGGTGTAAAATAATAAAAAGTTAATATTTAAAATTATATCTACGCGCGGCTTGCCATCCGTCCGGGTTTCTCCGGATTCCTAGTCCTAGTTTAGAGGGCATCCGGGGAGCGTCCGGTGAAACGTATTTTTTTTAGGTTTAATATTAAAGTATATTAATAATTTGTGTTACATTTAAAAATAAATCGAACCATTTATAAAAATAATTTGTAGCAAACTGTAATAAGATTCTGTTTTGTTACGTACATTTAAAATGATGATGAAATGTTACTACTTTTAGTTTTAAGGTTTGAAAATAAATAAAAAGGTGATATATGACACTATTTTTTATCACACTATGTTTAAAAAACCCTGTTGACATTAGGTTCTGAACTCTAAAATCCGCAGTATTCATGCGTCTTGGCCTGGCTTCCAAATTTTAGAGATAGCAACCCTACCTTAAATTCAAAAACGGAATTTAACAAAAACATAAATCTCTCGACGGTGATGATGACTCGAGACCTTGAGTATCATAGTTCCACTTCACCTGCGTCCCTCCATACTGAATGGGGTAATTATAAAAACTTTACATTTCTAACTCACGCCATTCGTGAGTTTACTTAAAATAAAGCCGACTTGCGTATCACGTTAAACACAGTGGGTGTAATGTAAATGTAATTAAAATGCGAACGTAGGCCAATTCATTCAAAAGTAACTGAGCAGATTAAGCAAAGTTCTATATTGCCTACCCAAACGTCTTTGTATATTAAGTTTGAAATGTATATAAAGAAAATAGAACGTCATGATTTACGTTTATATTTTTATCAACGGATTTTGATTTAAAACACTATGTTCGTCGAATCTGTATGGATTAATATTTTTTTTACTGCCGATGCTTGTTTTTTACACTATTTTATTTAAATATATATTTTTATTTTAATGAATAATTTAATTCGGATATCTATCCATATTATGTTTTTAAACAACTTATAAACTATAGTAGTAAATTTAATGACTTAAAATATGGAACTGGTAATGAGTTTTCATTTGTTTTAAAAAGTACGCAAGTTAGTAAATTTCAATTTATATTCATTCAATTCATGTGTTAAGTCTATGTCCACGTCAAGAGGCACTGGATCCGCAGCAGTGTAATGGTGTCCAGTGTCTCTAGAGCGGATAATCCGACATATTTGCTATTGTGTTTGGTTTAGCAAACTATTTGCCCTCCCCTGAATTCTACACATCAGTGATGCAGTTCTATTACGCATTATTGCTTCAAAGCCATCTATCCGCGCTTCTGCAAAATGTCAACACGATTGAAATAGCTTTTAATTTGCAAATTAAATGTACTTTTTATTGTAATTTGTGCTCATTTGCCGACAGACCCTGGTACCTCTCTGTCACCTATTTTTGCCGCTAAGCAAACGCGTTGCTAACTTTACTATGGATGAGATATGTTATATAAATTACAGGAAAATCTTTAGCCAGTGAAATAGCAATAACAGCGGCTGATGTGTACGTGCACTAAAAGGTTATCACGATGAATTTTGTCATAACCACAACGGCTTTTACATCTAATTAGCACTGTGTCAGGGCGCTGAAAAATATGGTTTTTTAAACATCAATATTACAACATTTTGTTACATATTATGTCAGCTCGTTAAAGCCTTGTGATCGAGTTATCGTGATAAAAGACACATTACATTAAGCAGTACAATGCTAATTACGGTATTTGTAACGTTATCATTTCGATATATGTGTGATAATATTGTAATCATTATTATATTTCTAACAGCCACTTAAATTGACTTCTTGTATTATTTATCGTATGGGCGCCGTCGTGTGAAATGTATTGATAAATTTATATAAAAACAATATATGTATATAATATATACTTTTATTCAAATGGCATTTGACGATTGTTATGTTTTCGCTAGCGCGTTTTCGATGGCTTAGTGTTTACCATCCTTGATACAACAGCTACCAAAAGGTTCTGATGAAAAACGTCCATAAAAATGAAATTAAAACAGACTGCACGGCGCCGCGGAGGTCGACTTGCCTACTACCAAGTAAAATATGGGTGTTGAACATGAAGTATTGTGTTCAATGGCAACGACAGAAACTAACAAGACTTCCGATTATGATAACCTATTTTCTATTCGAGTTTACTTTTTCCTATTTATATATTCTTATATTTCGTATGTACATATATAGTTTATTTTCGTGGCAGTGGTGATTTGTGTCATTTTTCTAGGTATTACTAGATACTATTACAATTGCTTTATTCGATTTCAATAAAATGTAATATCCAATTAATAATAAAAGTATGAACTTTTATGAATATGCGTTTCAATAGGTAATTGACGAAATTATTTTATTCTATAGATATTGATAAACTAGTAACTAACATTAATAGACATAATAAAATGATTATTCTATCTGTAATTCTACGGTTATTTATAATTTGGATAGGTTATATGTTTATCTATCGGCAGATAAGCATTCTGCTCCAACCAAATTAGATATTTTTACTTTTTACTTCCATGACTCAAATAGTCGCCGTCAAATTTGGTTTAAATTTAACTGTAACATACAACTGAATCTAGATAAAATCTAGTTTCAGTTAAAACTGAAAACAAAATTAAAACTCCTCTCGAATTTTCACTACTGTGTCCGTTTTAGATTCGTCTAAAACTTTTATATGGAGTAATACAATTTTAGTTTTGGAAAGTTATAAATATATGCATTCAATGTCGTAAATACATACAAGTACCTTTATTATTATTACTCGTTTAATTTTTGAGTTCATAGGTTGGTATTACGGTTTGGCGTAGTTAGACCACATTTCCGAGTATTATTCTTGATTCTTCTCAAAATTATAATATGGTTTGATATAAAAAAATACAAGTTCCTGGTCTGGCAGATTAAATAACAATAGGTTATTAATAGATTAGGTAACAATATTCTAATAACCATATAATAATAACTAATAAATAATAAATGATGATACTACCTATATAGACTGCGATACGCATTAGATATAGCGACTTTTTTTTCTTTATTTCTTACTTAACGTTTGATTTGACTTTCTTATTATTATATCTATACAGATATTATATATATCATAATATATTAAAAATATTAATCTATTCAAATATTCTATTAATAAAACAGTCACGATGAGAATCTGTCTTGGTTATTGATCTATAATAAATAACCAAATGTAATTAATTAGTACCAACGAACATAGTTTTCGTTTCAGTTATAGTTTCAGCAAATTCACTGCTACTAAACTTGCTTTTATCACTCTATGTTAATAACAGAAACATAAGCATACACGACAAGGATGTGAATATATAATCGATTATAGAAGATTTACTAATCGAATAGAATATATTATACCAAAAAATCGATTAAATAAAAATAACCTTTATTCAAATAAATACAAGATAAGAACTTATGAATTGTCATATTTTTTATTCTACTACTCATTCGCAGACACATCACAAGAAGATTGAGCATGAAAGTTGTGTATTTCTCTTTTGAATAAATGTTCTTTTAAATAAATAATTACGCAATAACAAATAAGAGCCATGGGATAATCAACATAGAAACCGCTACTCATTCTTAGTGCACTCAGATAATATTGACAGCGCTATGAATATTCAACAAAAACATTGTTATCATTTACAAACTCTTCAATTTTAAAAATCATTTTTACAGGCAAATATACTAGATTTAAATTAATAATAATTGATTTTCTTCATCATAGCCGGTTTTTCAATTAAGTCTAAGACATCAAAACAAGAGAACACAAGAGAAGAGAAGGCAAAAACAAAACCAAGTGGTGACACAAAAAATAAAGGGTTTCCTTAATCAACATATAGTGAATTCCAAGAATATGCGATTAGTATTAATTAAAGCTCGATTTTTATTAAATCGTTTTTCATCGTAACAAAAATAATCTTACATTGTAATCGATTTTTATGACCTAATGGCGTTATAATCGATTATATTATAAACGATTTTTTTACGACGTAATGTCACAACCCTAATACATGTGCGACACCGCCGCTATCAACTTAGTATCTAGTCCATAAACTTACAATTTATACTCCCAGTAGACATCCCTCCATTAGGCAAACTTCCTGGCAGACAAGTTTGTTCACTAGGCAAGGGACTCAGGCGGTCTTCTTGGTTCACTGACAGGCTAGAATTGCTTTGACCCGCCGCTGATGACAGTAGACTACTCACACTACCCTATTAAAAACATTATTAATTTAGTTCAAACACTAAATAGTATATTATACCATTTGGATTGTATATATATATTTATTTATTCATTTGCATTTCATAGTGTTACAATAAAGGTTTACATAATATTATTATAAGAACATTATGGACCCTGATGGGCGCAGCAAGCTACAATATATATATAATATGTACGTATAATAGTTTATGTAAGCATTGCATTTTAAAGCAAAAACTGTGTAGGTACAATAAAAGCATTTTAAGGTTGGAAACATTCATTCATTGTGTCTACATGCTCAGTGGCATAAAAAATATATTATATTTGATTATTTAATATTGCAGAATACAAATCTGCAGTGTATTATATATAATAATAATAATAATAATAATCTTAATAATACTATAAACGCATACGTATGGATGTTTGTTACTCTTTCACGCAAAAACTATTAAACGGATTTTGATGAAAGATTACAGTAAAAGCATCACAATAATAGTTTATATTAGGTTTATATTTTTATTGAAATTTATAAATCGAAAATAACGGGGATGAAACCGCGGGCACAGCTAGTTCTTTACAACTACATTTCACATACTGTGTTATGTAGGATTATATTCAAGAAGTTACTGACTATTTCGGTAGGTATAAAATATTATGGTGTGTTCGTGAATAACTACAAAATTAGGCCATTTAACTATATGTAGTATCATTCTTACCAAAAGAAGCTGAGTAACTTTAGTAATGTTTATGATAGTGCACATACAGACCTCAAGTGTGCGTATGTGTGGATATTGTATGTGTATTTATAGATACAATGTATGTCGGTAGGAGAAGTTTACACAGACTATGCTCATTATTCAGTCTCCTCTCTACTAAGCTGCACCAATCAATAACTAATTAGTGGTTTTAAGAAAATATTTTAAATATTTCAAAACCACCACAATTACCTATGTTGTAATAAATATAAAAATATATAAATAAAATAACCCTGGACATTTAATTCAACGCCATCCAATCCCACAGTAAGCAGAGCTTGTATTATGGATACTAGACAACTGGTAATTTTTTATAAATACATACATAATATGCATAACACCTAGACCAATACGATACGATACATAAATACAAATGTTTGCACCGTGCGAGGAATCGAAACCGCGACCATCGGAAGTAAAGCGGTGTGCTAAACCGCTAGACCACCGAGACAGTCAAATATAAAATACATTTATGTATTTTATAACTTCAACATGCATTTGTTTTTGTATGTTATCAGTAGATTAGAAATGCAAAAGATTTTTGAATAAATTTTATTATTTTCTTTACTACGCTATGAATACTGACACTATAAAAGATAGCAGTAAGTTTATAGTCGTGCAATATGAAATGTACACGACTATTAGCTCTATACTAGACATAGCTCCGTTTCATAAGTTTACTCATAATCGTAATATAACATTTTCTATAAAAATAATATAGTCTCCAGCTAAATTGGTTTTTAACTTATTGTATAGAATATTAATCTACTATTTTAGTATTTATAATTTCATATAATCCACAAAATTTTTTCAAGTTCATTAGCATTTTTTTAGCAAGAATTGATTACGAAATTTTCTTTATGTAAATTATTTACTCAGTGATTACTTACTGTGTAAACAAATGTAACTAGTACTTAAAGTATTAAGTAAAAGAAATATCTATCATCTATAATAATATTCAAAAAGCACATAAGTAACAGTGCCATTAATTGAACTTTAATACAAAAACGACTGTCTAAGACAAAATCCCTTGTATTGCACGTTGTTTGTAAATATTTTAAAAGCAATTTAAACAACTTCTTTATAACCCTACGTATAGCTTAGACTTTCTTAGCATAGGTCAATGGCGTCATTGCATTGTGAAATATAATAGGAGACAAAATCGTGAACACCTTTTCTTATGTTGACGCACAGAATGTATAAAATATGTTTTCACGCTGGTTGAGGTTGAAATGACTAGACCGCGATGCTCGTTTGTTTTCCAAAGAAATCAATAATTATTTTAAAATATGAAGTAGATAGTCGTATTAATTAATTGTGTAAGAATCTACCACATTACCAATATGTTTTACTGCCTCAATATACATTGGTTAAACATAGGTGAGTGGTATTATTGAATTTACCTAGCAAATAATTTACTTATTGGTTAGCGGTTGTGTAAAGTTATTTTGCATTATATTGCATATTCAATGGTTTAATTGCTGTTTACATAAACATGGTTAATATCAGTTGCAATATTATTAATATTAGTTTGATATCGTAATTTATAATTCATATATAAATTACAAACATCATTCATAATAAAAAGAAAATGAATAAATGAAGTAAAACTTACATTGTTATTGTTGTTCAGACGACAACATTCAAAGTTGTCTCGCTCAGATTTCTCGTTCAATGATTGTAAAGAAACTGATACCGAACCAGTTCGATCCAGTTGGGATTGACTTTTCGCTAGTGACTGCTTTTTGAACGATTCGGAAGCATTTTTTTTAAAACTCTCCCACTTTTTTCTAAAGAATGAAGACTTTCTTTCTAATGGAGATTTGCCTATGGAATGCAAATCCATTTCGGATTGCGATAAACTATTGCGTTTCATTAATATCGTGTGATCTAAAGATAGTTTACGCTCACGAGATTTTAAATTGGAATATTCGTTTATTACAGAGGTAATTTGTGAAATTTGAGGACTACTTGTGTTATGTACATCACCGTTAACTAGCGTATTAGGTGAACTCTCTACTTTTGTATCTGTCTCAGTTTCAATTGTGTTATCGTCGTCGACTGTGTTACTTTTGTCTACTTCAGTACCCGATGTATCTATATTGGTTTCTTGATTACTATTTAGGCAATTCTCATTCGTTACCTCGACAATGTTAATATCATTATCGTTTGATAGAGAATTGTTCGTAGACATAGGATTTTGATTTTGTTTGTTGTCTTCATTCGTCACGTCCCCGAAACTATCGTTGTCATTAAAATTTTGCATTACTTTACTTCCCCGTGGTGCTTTAATACGCATGCTGCTATTCATTTTAACTGTTCTTAAGATTTCTTTAATCTTCATATTTTCTTTAATGGCTTTCGCATCTGTAATATACATGTTGGGTTCTTCTTTGTCCATATGTTTCATAGGTTTGTGTTTCTTCGACTTTTGCCGAATTCGATCCATGGTTAAGTGTAAATTATCACTGACATTCAAACGTCACTTTAACACACATACGTATTATGAAATTCCGAGACGTACTCCATGGTGCGAGTATAGTGCAAACACTTTATCACTTGCTAACTTTACACCTGTTCAATCATAGTGAAGAGTAACGATAACGACTTATCGACAAAAGAGGGCAAACGTAGCGGCGCGAACTAATAAAACATCACATGGATCGGCATGTGTACACATTCACACCATCTGCTTCATTTCTGACACATATGTCTTTATTTTCAACTATTAATACAATACACATGGCGAATCCGTCAACTGTGTCGCTACAAACTGAACTTCATTAGCTAAAAGTAAACACGTCGCGGAAAAGAGCTGCCAGTGGACTGATTAGGCAATAAGTGTGTTGATTTCTTGTGTATTATCTTCCATAGATATCTCAAGAGGTTGATAAGTATTGATAACGAGCTGCGTACCTTGGTCAATTTTTGTTTTATCTTAAGCCCGTGGGTTCTTACAGGTTGATAGGTACACAGCAAATACTAGAAAATACAAAGTGACGTATACAATAAGTAAACAAAACATTTATATTAATATTTTTTGATAAAATATTTTCGGTTTTTATTTTGTTGAATCACGTTAACATCGACATGAAGGTCACGGTACAATGTGTTATATTGTGTTTCTTCTAAAATCGATGATCATCATTGTGTTATCCGTTGATCTTATAATATATGATCATGAAAGAAAAGTCATTAGGTACACAAGCATTATGAGGTTATCAGTCGCGCTGGTCGCTGATTGGTTCATGGGCTTCCGTCGAATGTCAATCAAAACAAGAATAGAAAATTGAAATATCTTATTTATTAGTCAGTAGTGGCCCTGTCCGTTTGTTATGATGATATCTGTCACTAAAATAATAATAGATATAATCAAAACCAATCAAACCCCCTCGAGTAACTAGTCATTTTTAGAACAAAAATATTACAATGTCCCTACATTATATATTGCGTCAGTAGATTAGAAATATTAATAACTACGTGAGATATAAAATATTTTAATAGCAAGTGCAATGTGCTTTTGGCATTGATATAAATTACAATATGTGCATATAAATTTATCTACTTAATAACATAATATGTATGTCGGTGAACAAAATTGTATCTCGCGTACTTTTATTGCATTGTAAGTATAAGAATAAATATAAGATATTACTTCCAGAAAATTAGACGTAATATTACGGAATAAAGTCTCAAAGTTGTTATTAATGTAGTAATTTAAATAAAAATTATTTATAAAAGCAGTCCATAAAACATGAATCATACATCGTATACTAATACTAGCTTTTACCCGCGGCTTCGCTCGCGTTAATTTATCCCCTTAGGGGTGGAATTTATCAAAATCCTTTCTTAGGGGATGCCTACGTCATAGTAGCTTTATGCATGTATAGTCTTAGCCCGATCGGTTTGAAATTGACAAAATTTCATATAAACTTTCATCCCCTGTTTTATCCCTTTGGGGGTAGAATTAATCAAAATCCTTCTTCTTAGAGGATGCCTACGTCATAACATCTACCTGCATGCCAAATTTCAGAGCGATCCGCCCAGTGGTTTGGGCTGTGCGTTGATAGATCACTACGTCAGTTACCTTTGAATTATATACATAAATATAAGAATATACATAATAAAATAATATAATCGTAGACTGTATTACGAGAATAGGCTATCCTTTGTCTAAAAACTGCAGACTAAATCACTGGTAACTGCTAGCACTAAATAAAATTCTTTTTAAAAAAATAAGTATAGCATGGATTGTTAATAGAAATATATTGTGTAATTTCACTTAATATCATGAGAACGTGATTACGTGAGTTTGGTTTGGTTGTTCATTTCTATTTACACCTACTGTACAAATTTTACAGTAAATCGTACTAAACAACTATTTAAAGCTTCAACTGTTACCGCTCGTTGCTCCCGTTTTTGTTTTGTCCGGAAACGGTAAAGTGGTTAAAAGAATAAACTAAGTTTACGTGACAGGATAAAATTAACGAAGCTATATGGAAGCCTCGCTATTTACAAATTCTAAACCTTTGCTTTTATTAAGCGTTTTTGGATTACTTTTAAACCACGGCTAAAAATAAAAGGGGTATTATGAGCTTCAAGCCTTTCGTTTAAATTATTCTTACTAATATTATAAATGCGACAGTAACTCTCTATCTGTTGTCTGTCTTGCTTTCACGCCAAAACTCCTGAACCGATTTAAATGAATTTTGGTACACAGATGCGAAAAAAAGATTGTAAGGGATGAAAAGAATATCGTCATTTTTAAACTACGAGCTTGAAACTTATTTTTAAGGCTGTTGATTAAATATAAATGACAGTCAAGGTTTGTACAAAATGTTACCCTTAATGGGGTAAAATAAAATAGGGATGAAAGTTCGTATGGAATTTTTTTAAAGCTAGAACGATGGAACTCTTTATTTGTGTTAGATTATTGCATACTTTTTCTTTGTTTGATTAAATTCACTACAACACTCGGACAAAGACACGGGCACAGCTAGTAAGGAGTAATAATTTAAATAATATTTTCGTAATTCAGTTTTTTATCTCAATAGTTTTAGTGCACCTACACCAAGCGATTTAATACGTCGATTAGATAATTGACAACATATTCGTGTAGTCAATGAGCCATCCTTGCATATGTGATCGTGTTTGCAATTATTACCACGACCTATCGTAGGCAATCGGTTCTCTGCCTATTCGGTACAAGGAATTCAGGTTAAATATACATCTTCTCTCTCTTCTCTTTCAGCATAAAGTAGTCCACCGCTGGACGTATGCCTCTTGCATAGTTTTCCACTTAGTTCTATCTGTGGCGCATCTTGTCCAGGTCGGCCCTGCCATCTTCCTGATGTCATCGGACCATCTTGCGGTTGGTCTGCCTACGCTTCTGCTTCCCATTCTAGGTCGCCACATTAGGGATCTGTATGTCCATCTGTCGTCATTACTTCGACATACATGACCAGCCCAACGCCACTTTAGCTGCGCGATTCTTTGGCCGATGTCGGTAACTCCAGTGCGCCTTCTGATCTCAGTGTTCCGCAGTCTGTCTCGAAGGGAGATACGGAGCATAGAACGCTCCATTGCTCTTTGGGTGACTTGTAGCTTGTTGACCCTTTCGGCGGGTAGCGTCCACGTTTCACAAGCGTATGTTATTACTGGTAGAACGCATTGGTTGTACAGTCTTGTTTTCAGTGTTTGCGGGATCTTAGATTTAAAAACACTAATATACATAAGTGTATGTAAATATGTGTACGTAAAATGTATTCAACTACGTATTATTATTCAAAAACATTTTATCACAATACTATATATTAAATTTTATGTAGCAGTACAGGCTAGCACTCTAATTTTAATTTATAATTTTTCCTATAGCTCGATCTTTGAAACAGTCAGGGATGGAATTCAATTTAATAATTACCAAAGAAACCGTTCCCTTAGTACGCTCACGGCCGTATATCTGAAAGTTTCGGGTCATTATGTCGAATTTCAAACAACTGTAATTTATTCTCAACTAGTACATGTAGGTCGCATTATAGGTAATATCTTAGATAATACTGCTGTAAGTAATACTATAACTGAAACGATGTTATAAGGTATTGAGTGGCTAGGTATATCGGGTTAACATTAAGAAAAAATAGTAGATTTTTTTTCAATCCCAAATCCGTACTGTTATCATAAATTCGAAACTGTCTGTCGGCCTCGCTTACTACAACAAACAATATATATTTTTTTTTAAAGGATGATAATGGAATGGTACACCCGCTTGCGCTAACGGTTTACGCTGGCGGGGCACCAGTGAAGGATGATAAGATGAGCATGAGGTCAGGTCAGTTAGCCAATCGTGACAAATTCACCAGGAATTTATCGCGATTGTTTCCAGGGGGAACCGCGTGGAGGTCAACCTGACATGGGAGATTGCTAGTAATGGGATTATGAGTCCACATTACTAACAATCCCCACCCCCCCAACAATATGTATTTGCTATATGCTTTATATATATAATACATGTACACCGAGTAGCTAGTCCTGTATATAAAAGACGTACCTAACTTTTATTGGAACAGTACTTGATCGAACGTCGTCCTTTATATTGGCCACGAATTTTATAACTCCAGTAATAAATTTGTAGCTTTCGGACAAACGCTAATAAATTTATCTGAATAAAATGTACCGTACCGTCCAAATAAAATGAAGTTTATAACATACACATGCGATCTTTTGGCTGAAACTGTACGTATATCATTTCGTGTGAAAGCCGTTGTAACTGACTACATAATTACAAACCGCAGCTGAACGCAACGTATACGATAACAAACTATGACGAGGGTCTACTGGGGGTTCTCGAAGCATGGAAAATCTTCACATTAGCATGCCTCTGCGGTTGATCCCTTGAGTCATATTTCTGCCATCATTGGTTCATACTTGTTTTATTACCATCAAATCCCTACTATAATTTAGACGACTGTCTAATACTTATTGATTTCGGTTAATATTTTATCTATCGATAAAATGGTGATATGCTCTATTATCAAAATAATAGTTGTACCGGTACTTATAAGAAGCAATATGGCGGATGAGGAAATAAAATTCTGTGAACTATAAATACAGTAGTATCTATAAAGATACTGAGTATTTAATTATATTAAGTATATTTTAGGTATGAAATATCCGACCCCTGAATCCTTAATATTTCTGTACGGCCGCGGCATCGAAAACAATAATTATCTATGTAAAATACATAACCTTATGTATTTTACATAGATAACTTCGGTGAAATTCCATACGCAATAATATACAAACAAGGATGATAAAGTGTTATTATCAGTGACTATTACTGTAATAGATAATGAAACCTATTCATATTCGATTATACATTATTTTTAAGAACCTAATACCATAATCATCTAAAACAAATTTAAAATCAGTCATAATCTGTAGATAAAGTCATTTTTAGTGCAACTGTATAGGACCCAATACTGATTTCGAAATTAAAATTCATTTAGAAATCGTAATGAGATACACCAATTTAGCCTTCACATTAATTTGTGAAGGACATAACGAATATGTTACTTTATTCTTACCTCAAAAAAAATACCACGTGTCTAAAGAAACAAGAAGTTTCATAATATATATGTAATAACATCAGCATCTGCTTCTTCTTTATTAATTTAGAGTCGGCGTAATGTTTTTCTCTGTCATTTCTGTTCATCATTCCTTTTCGCAGTCAACTTGTTATTTACTCCCTTTCATACAGTCCATCTGTTCGTCTCTTTTATAATAGGTACATAGTATGATATATATGTATAATGTATATGCAATATATCTATTGTGTGGTAATTGCATAACCTAGCTAACAGAGTAGGTTTGAGTACTTTTATATTCTAAAAATACTCTAGAATTAGTTTGATTTACACGAAATATGATTATAAAATTGAACCCATAAAGAGGAAATTGTACATTTTGTTGTACTTTTTGTATTTGAAGAGATTTTATGTACACGTATGAAACAGATAATAAAATCCTAGAGTGGTAGATGTTTCATCATGCAGATCTATTCCTATTTCGAAAATAACTAAACCCGTTATACCGGTCGATTTCACTGTACCATTATAAACAAATGTACCTAAAGATCATGACAATAAAAACGTTACTAAATAATAAACGAAACTAAAATGGCTAGTGGAAGCGAGAGGTATCTCCATTATCTTCTAAAAGATCTTGGTTTATAGTAAGTCCTATAATGTCAAGTAATTTAGCCCCTTTCATATATTAAAAATATTCAAACAGATACGGAAGATTTCTGTGTTGGCATGTCTATTAAAGTAGTTCATTCATAGATATTGTTACAGTTTAAGTGAGTATAAAGCGGCTCTTTAAACCTACACCCGGGTCACAAGTCCCGGAAACTGCTCGGAGTTTCCTCTCTGCCACACGATGGACCGGGTGCCTGGTCAATCCATGGAATGCTAAAAGTTCGTCTTCCAGAAAATCCGATAAAATAGTTTCCATTTTAGTTCTATAAATAGGCACTTTTTTATGTAGACTATAATTCACTTCTAGGAAGATAGAAAATAAAAGAAGAATATGTGGTGTTTCCATCATTAAATATACACAGATTACAAATAAATTCTACTCCAAACTCAATTTGTAATTAAACAATTTAGTAGTACAAATGAATAACCATTTAATTAACATTAGTAACATGTGTTGAATTTGTAAAATAGAGTAAATAATATTCGCCAGTCCGTTCTATGTCACAATTCATTTCCTGGGAGGCGCGTCGGGTACGTCAAACTCGCTGACTTGTGCATCCACCAGTTGTTTACTTCTGAGCTTTATGACAGCATGACCGGGCACGTTCGGGTCTTCCATTTCAAATTCAATCAAACCTGTTTGAACATAGATAAAAGAATAATACTTATTGATTTATTATTAAAATGTGGAAAGAAAAAATAAACATACAATCACCTACTGACTACATGTTTCTATTTTTATGATAGATTTATTATTATAATCTTCTTGAAATCCTGAATTTAATTTAAATATAAGTAGGTAAAAGATTACTCGAGTGAAATACGTATTGGCTGTTATCAAGTTTGATTGCGAAGTATAGTTACCTAGTACGTTATTACTAACTTAGTAAATAAAAAAAATCTAAAACGTATAAAAGTGTCTATACCTGCCACTAATATTTTTATGAAATAAAATTCTATATTAACGCTCACATATTCTCGCGTATTCTAAAAATGCAGTACATATTCGGCTGTAATACGAGAAGTAACATGTTCCCGCGTATTCTAAAAATGCAGTAAATATTTCGCTGTAATACGAGAGTTTATTTCGTTACCCCGACAGTAACAGAATTCAGTGGTATAAAAATTAAAATGGATATAGAAATAGAAACTAACATTCATTCAGATTCAAAAATTATATTCGTGATGACTTAAAAATAATAATTTTAATATTCATACCCATATTTTAGAAATTGTTTGAAAATAAATTTTACACGTCTAGCCTTTTAGATAGCGTTTTTACATAAATATGGGATTTTAATACAATGGGAATTATGCTAAAATTATACACGACAAGAAAATTATACAATGACTCAGCAAATTCCTTACATTATGAAGATTAATCACATCCCCGACTACAAGTAAAAACGAAGCCGTCAATATTTCAATCGGCAAATGAACTAAAGTAATGAAGTAGACTTTGATTAAATTACTGAACTTGGCACTTTTTAGTACAAGCGAAACGAAGCTGCATAAAGGAAATATTCAACTAAGTAAAACGATCCTACCTGCTTGTTGATGTTTGGAAACTAAATGTGCAGTAGAATAGAATAGAATAGAAAATCATTTATTCAAATAAACTTACATTGAAGCACTTTTCAATAGACATCACATTTTTTTAATCTACTGCTCATTCGGAAAGCTGTTTCATCACAAGAAGAACGAGCAAGAAACCTGCGTGTTGCTCTTTTAAATAATTTTATTGTTACTGTGTGAATACAAACTACCGATTAGCACTAATTCAATTAAATAATCAAATAGAAAAATATAGAGTTGTGTCCATTACATACATTTACTCATTATATTAACTGAATGTTATTGAAAAATTTGCTATTTAATATACTATTAGTGCACTCAGCGTTATTACCTATCTACACTGAATTTCAACATCGTTCGAAGTAGTTACGTCGTAAAACAAACTTATGTATATACAATTCTTTATTTATATTTGTCTCAATATTTAGTTCGATGTTTACTCTTCCATGGATCCCTTGATTTCATTGATTGGCTGTAATATGAAAATGGGTACGTAACTTCGTAACACGCATTGGTAAATATATTAAAATTTATTTTGTTAAAAATGTTTCTTGCTACATATTATCCCTGGGATCATTATTTATATGTATTTATCATGGATCAGGTTGTTACCCATTGTTTTGTTCACTGAGCTCTATGGGTGACTGAAATCCGTTCACGATAATGTGTAAAACTTGCTTTAGAACACGGTTTCAAATCTTTCACAAAGAGATAATATAATAGAGATAATATCTCCGGTTCACAGTATAGTACAGCAGGCAGCATTTCGTGGCTGCTTTCACTACGCTGCTACGAAATGTTAGAACAATCTACCGCCTCCAATTTAAAATTCAAAATCTGTAATTACATTTAAACTAAAACTTAAGAATTTCTATTAGAAAATCAGCTTTCCACTGTATAAGTGTCCGTACTGTATTGTTTTACCTATGTATTTTATCCATCATTTATCAGAACATACACTTACACCTTATCAGACGTACCTACCACCAACAGCGCACGTTCACGCAGGCAACAGTAGATAGGTAAACAAAAGGTTGAAAATCAGCGTTATGATATTACAGCCCAGATACAAAGCTGAGTAAAAATTTATTTGGTCGTAGCTGTATTTTTAATTAATTAGAAGGTTTGTAATATATATTGATAGTATGAATGTTTTGTATGCGCCAAATAAATATATTTTTCTTTCTTTCTTTAGAAGATAAGAATTAATTGTTGTATTTTATTCATATTTTAAGATTTAATACCTTAACGTATGAAATGCGTTATATGCGTCTTACTCCGTATTTGAGTTATTTATTTACAAACAAATGTAACTAACTAATAATTCACAGGAACTTATTCACCGAAAGGTATATAAGTATAAGAAAATTATAACTGTAATAAAACTTTAAAATATGAAACGAGTTATGCTCTTACTCCATATTTCAGATTTTTATAGCAAACAAAGTAACTAACCAATATTGCACAGGAACTTATCGAAAGGTACGTAGTTATAAAGTTTAAACTTAACAACCTTGTGAAATATTTTCTACTTCACTCTCAGTGAAGATCTCTGATATTCAAGAAACTATGTAATTTTTATTAACGAACTATTTCGCGTTAGCTGAATAACTACTCTTTTCCGTCTCCAGAATATACTATATAGTGTACCATCTGAAATTCTAGATCTAGAAAAGCGTGTGGCTAACATAATAATCTTCCTTACTTCCGTATCCATTTTCAATAGTATTGAAAAGTTCATTTACGTATCCTAGCTAGAAGATCGGCAGTAGCTCTGGGATACAGATGAGTAGTGTTTCCAATGGGTAGCCACTCTACATGACAGAATCACAGAACATTTTCGCTAAGTCATGGGACTGATCGGAAATGTACTCAGAGAAAAAAAAGTATAGAAAAGGCCGCGTAACACAGAACAGCCGAATATAATTTACTAGCTACTCGCCCTGGCTTCGCACGGGTGTACATGTATTATACATATAAACCTTCCTCTTGAATCACTCTATCGATTAAAAGAACGCTACAAAATCCGTTGAGTAGTTTTAAAGATTAAAGCGTACATAGGGATAGACAGCGACAGCGACTTCATTTTATACTAGGTAAAGATAATGACTATGTAATTGTTGGCGATGGCAACCTTTTTGATAGTTTTTATGTTTTTTATATATATTTGAATTTTATATTTTGACGTTTTGTTTTTATATACCGTTTGTTGTATTATGTCATATTGATTGTCTTTACATTCTAGATAGCGTGCTGATTACATATATTTTACTTCATCTAGGAACGTGTCTCATTTTTAACCAGCCCAAAATACAGTCCTTCGGTAACAGTAATAATTGACTCTCTTAAATACAAAAGCTTATGTAGTAGTCTACTTAAATTTGTGTATAAGTACATGTCTATCATGGTATGGACATGTAATGCGTAGGAACGAGGATAATATTGTAAGAAAGGTGTTACATATGAATGTGGATGGTTATAAGGGCAGAGGAAAGCCGAAAAGGAGATGGATGGACTGTGTGAAAGATGATATGGTAAGAAAGGAGGTATATAACGCGATGACTGCGAACAGCCCCAAATAAATGGGATAAGGAAGAAGCAGATGATGATGATGATGAAGTACATGGTAAGTAGAATTAATAAATTGAATCTTACAGATATTATAAACGTGAATGTTTGTGAGTATGGATGGATGTTTATTACTCATCTATATATAAATATATATAACTCAAAGGTGACTGACATAGTGATCTATCAACGCACAGCCCAAACCACTGGACGGATCGGGCTGAAATTTGGCATGCAGGTAGATGTTATGACGTAGGGATCCGCTAAGAAAGGACTTTGATTAATTCTACCCCCAAGGGAATAAAATAGGGGATGAAAGTTTATATGAAACTTTGTCAATTTTAATTAATAAATCTACTAATGACGTAGGCATCGTCTAAGAAAGGATTTTGATAAATTCCACCCATAAGGGGATAAATTTGGATTTTGATGAAACTTTACAGTATTGTTGCTAAAATATAAGAATAACAAATAGCCTGTACTTGAAAAAGATATGTAAATTGGGCGAAATATAATGATAAATATCAAGTGAAAATGTGCGGGTCAGCTAGTCTAAAACCGAAGTGAACAAAAGAGACAAGGCTCGCAATACGCTTCGGCGAAACTACATGAACTTATATTTCTAATTATGTATCTATCACCGCGAGGTGATGGGGTTTCAACCGAACTGGGCTGTCCACACAATAAGTAGTCATATTTTTAAAGTCAGTAGGTAGCTAGTGTCTGTTAGTCAAATCAGAACTTATATCTTGTACTAAAAATAAACATGATTATATCAAACTTCTAGAACATACATTTTATATCATAATTATAATTAGATTTACTCTTTCCTATTTATATATTTACTTCCAGTTTATAGGCATAAATCATATTATTTAAAAATATATTGTGGTTGTCGCGTACAAGCAGCAACAAAACGCAACACAAAGGGAGCGTTCTGATTGGAGCGCACACCCATCCAATTTAAATACGCAAAGTAACGTACAGACTTAAAATATCAACCGACCGATCTAACGTACATTTTGTTCACTCCACCAAATTTGTTATTATCACAGTATTTAACCATTAAATTCAAGACTATAAGCAATTCTATCATTTTCTACAACCCGTAATCTGCTGAAGCCAACATCACCTACCATCTGAGCATTCGAGCCGCATCATCACGTACCAGTGGTTGTTATCTCACTAAGACTAGATGGCGTTGTAATAGCTGAAATCTGGTTTAGCGGGGCATGTTGGCGAACGGTTGCCTTTGACAGTAACACTCCCGCTCACGTATTTCACTTTACCGGACAATCATTTGATATACAGCCAATATGCATTTGGTATCAATAAATCTTGTGTTGTAGGTCGCTAGCAATTTGATTTATTGAAACACTAAGTAATTGCGGCTTTATATAGAAAATTAAATGCACGATTCTGGCTATGAATGTTAATGAAGCAAAAATTGTGTGTATTAAGTAATGACACTCGGTTTTTTTATATGATAATGAAATGATGGACACGCCTGCGATAACGGTTTACGCTGGCGGGGCACTAGTGGAGGATAATAATAATTGAGCATGAGGTCAGGTTAGTTAGACCATCGTAATAAATTCATCTGGAATTTATCACAGTGGTTTCTAGGGGGAACCGCGTGGAGGTCAACCTGACATGGTACATTACTAACAATCCCCATCCCCCTAGTGATACTCGGTTCACTCTATATATTTTGACAGAGATAGATGTAAAATTATATTATGAATATTTTTATAAACGTAATATTTTTAAACTAGTAAACGGCTTTTACTTTTAGGAAGAGATATAATTTTCGTGGTTGTTTCCTCATATTTTTGTAATCCAAGAAAATGGAGCTGAGATTGATTTACACATATGTATAGGTATATTTCGATGATATATAACAATTCATATAATAGAAAATAAATACTTTGTTACTCAGCTTTTTAAATACTTAAGAATATATCTGTATATTAATAGATAGATTAAGTTTTTATTCATATTAAAAGCACACACAAGGCACAGTAATATAAACAACAAAAATAAAAAGTTGGTACACAATTACATTGATCCGTCAACAAAATACATGAAAAAAAAACGGTGTGAGTAACGTAGAGTATGTACATCGCCCATACGCAAAAAGCCAGAAAAAAGCAGACCACCCATTGAAAATCGGTGGTTTGCTGCAGCACTGCCCAGCGATTTACGCTTTGACGTTTAAAAACATTATATAATGGAATAAATACTAAATTTCAGAATAATCAATACTACATTAATAAAATATATGTGTCTAATATATGTACGGACACAAACCTCCTTCTGCGACAGTTTCTTCCTTGTAATTGTCCCTCATATACCTCGCCAGGATGTTGTGATAAAAACACTTGGCATTCTCTTTCACTTCAGGTGTAATATCCATTTTAGCCACTGCTTGAATCAGGATGTTTAGCTTCTGCCTTGCAGTTAATATTAATTTGTCAACTGTAAAAATTGTAAGGACCTATTAATTATAATATTAATACTATATTCTAATACCAGTATTATGAACATAAAATATATATATTGTAAATTTGCCTGGTCAATGATGTCTAGAGTCGACCCCAATCAAATTGAAAGAGCCTTGCCTAGCCTAGCCTTTATCTAGGCGCTTTAAAAATTAATGTAATATTTCATAACAGTAAATTTAGTTTTAATTTTTATACAACAAATAAAAATAGAGTTGAGAATATATTACGGGTTACTAGTTACCTCTGAATTTAACAATTTATCGTACCTACATTTTTAAGCCGATAACCCTTAAATCAAAAATTGACAGATGGCAACCCTAAATTTCGTTTCTCTGAAATAGATACGGCGAAATCCCATCTGTTCCAATAACGATTAGTAATCAGTCTGCTGTATGATCTGATTTATATTCAGGTAAAAAGAATTTTAGAAAGTAAATTCTTATATAAAATTGAATAGTTAGTATGTGAACAAAAAATCTATGGAGTAAATATATTGGAGTACAAGTTTAGTTCGCCAACAAATGATGGTATCGGATAGTAGAAAAAATACGGTAGCAAAATAATGTTAATACAAAAATATTGAATAAATGAATGATTTTTGATTTGATTAGAGCACACCGAAGAAGGCTGCTACAGCTGCGTGATAATTTGAATGATTTTGCTAAGTTGTGTGGTCAAACGAGGCATTTAAATAAACTGCATGCAACTATCATTTTGATTTGATTTGATTTGATTAGTACACACCGAAGAAGGTTGCTACTGCTGCGTGATAATTTGAATGATTTTGCTAAGTTGTGTGGCCAAACGGGTATTTGAATAAAATGCATGCAACTATCATTTCGAGTTGATTTGATTTGATTAGAGCACACCGAAGAAGGCTGCTGTAGCTGCGTGATAATTTGAATCATTTTGCCAAATTGTGTGATCAAACGGGGTATTTGAATAAACTGCATGCAACTATCATTTCGAGTTGATTTGATTTGATTAGAGCACACCGAAGAAGGCTGCTACAGCTGCGTGATAATTTGAATGATTTTGCTAAGTTGTGTGGCCAAACGGGGTATTTGAATAAACTGCATGCAACTATCATTTTGATTTGATTTGATTTGATTAGTACACACCGAAGAAGTTTGCTACTGCTGCGTGATAATTTGAATGATTTTGCTAAGTTGTGTGGTCAAACGAGGCATGGAAAAAAAACTACATGCAACTATCTGAGGCTATATAAAAATAAATAACTCTAGTCTTTGTTAATCTGATGATTAATTACTGGATAGCGTGATTTTATAAGTAGTAAATTCTTGCAAACAGTAATATCTACGACGCTGTTTCTGAATTGTTAATATAAATAATGGTAGCTTAACAAAGCGCGCTACGAACAAAGACGAGATATTTTGAATAAGATAATTGGTGTGACGATGATAAACGGCAACAATACGTCAGACTCACAGTCAGCCTCCAGTTCTGGGACGGGCTGTACCATCTCGTCCAATGCGTATTGGATGGCCGGTGGTACATTGGTGAAGGGTCTTGGTGCATTAGGTGCTCCTATAAAATACCATTGAAATTATTTAGACGGCCTCGGTGGTTTGGCGCCGCCTTTCCCTCGAAAGTTGCTGGATCGATTCCGCACATTTGTGTTCATAATTATTATTGTATTGTTTTCTATGTATATTGAGTATCTAATATATAAAATTCACAGGTTTCGTGTTTATACTCTTCCGAGACAGCTTGATATTTTTATATCCCTAAGTGTTACAAAAAAATGGTGGCTAACTACAAGTTTCTTTTTTCCTTTTATCGACAAATATTTTTTTATGATGTGGCACTAAAACCTACATAGTCTTAAATTTCTTCTACCATCCACCCCTATTTTTTAATAGCTATTTTTATTTATATGGCGAAACAACGTTTTCCGGAACAGCTCTAGTATATAGAAAAAGTATTTAACTATTTGTATCAATTGTCTAAAACCCATAACATAATCTCTGCTAGATATATAATACCAGTTTGTAAATCATTCTGTGTTATATTACATAAAGTATAGGGGATGTAAACTTCATATATTATAAAACCTAATCCCCACGGCAGTATTACCTTATAGCATAATAACATTGCAGCTCAACGTCATACGAAGTTACGACATATAAACACGAAGTCTAATTCTAGTTTGACGGACTTTAATCTCTGCTCAATGATTCGAGTTCTATAACATATATGTATACTATTTAATTAGAATATTTGGCGCTACGATCTCGCCAACATGTTATAAATACCACGAATACTGAACAAACTTGCAACCGGAAACGGACATATAGAAAGCTAGCTATGAACTATAAACACTCAATTGGGGTTTTCAAGAAGGGTATATTAAGGTTTCTTAGGGGTAGGTAACGCGCACGTGATTCCCCTGGTGTTTCAGGCGTTCATAGGCTAAGGTAACCATTTACCATAAGATGGGCCGTATGATTGATTGCCACCTTCGTAGTATAAAAAAATTATATGTAGGTAATTTTGGTATTGTTATTCAACGGTATATCGACGGAATAGATATAGGAAACGAGTTGTCACATAAAAAAGGACAGCATTTTATTGACATTAAAGAAAAAAAAAGAATTTAACAACCTGAAAATTAAACTTCGTTTGAGTTCAAGGATTTATTGTTCCAAACACTAACATACTTTCTTTCACATTTCAAAATCAACGACCCAATTCAGTTCTTTTTTTCCGCACTATTCTAATCTATTGGCTGGAGCTGGCCTTTACAGCTTCACCGCACGATAGGGGCGAGAGCAGATGGCACTCCAAACCAAAGGAAGGACTCATGGAGCGGTGAAGGACAACTCCCGCCTGTAGGATACGAGTTTAGATATATACATATCATATACATCGGCTCAGGCCGTCGTAATTTCGATACCCGTTTGAATTGGACGGGGGATCGATTCGAGCGTTCCCCCATTCAGAGGAATGATGTTCTTTTTATAAACATCCATTAAGTCGTTTAACAACTGAAATTAATTTACAATGCCTATAAAATTTTATAAATATCTACATAAAATAATAATTATGAAAATATCATATTACAATTCATACTAAATATAGTTTCAAATCAAATAAATAATATATATACTTTATTGAACTTTTAAATATATTGATTGAATATGTGTTACAAATTTTGTTTGCAAAGGAGGACTTATCTCTAAAAGAGATCTCTTCCAGTTAACCCAAAACTGCGTGACACTGGAAGTGGTGTGTGGGATTCAGGAGTGCAAATAATGAATGTAAGAAAAGATAAAATAAATATAATAAATAGTTATTTCACAGCACTTATTGCAAAAAGTCAAACACATACAATATGATTATATTAAATTGTAATTTAGTATTTAATATGATCTTATTAAATACTAAATTACAATTATCTTACATATTATATATCATATATGTATGTTTGTTCTGAACATCACTATTAACTATTCATATTTCCTTGAAGTATAATAGTACCTACATTTAAAACAAGAAATAAAGCATAGAACATACAATAACATAACTTAAAAAGGCATGTGTTCTACTTTGTTAAAAATTATATTTTTATAATATCCAGTACCTACGTTATTCACAATAATTATCTTAGACTTAATTTGCAACAAAATGTTACGTTCTTCCGATACGCAGGGCGATGTTTGCCCCGTCATGCTCTAAATTAATTTATTTTGACGTGATTAATTAGTGGACAATATTTTGGTACCTAGTAATTATGTATTAAGACTTTTTATTTTTTCTAATATAACGAAAATCACAATTAAGTACTACGGTAATTATCTAAATGCTCATAAATACATACTACATATAGTAACGTGATTTATTTGCAAAATATATGTTTAAAATGAAAGAGATTTTTTTTATAATTTCATCATAAGTTTGGTGTATATCTATAAAGCCGTGGGATATGACTACGTAACAAACTGTAGGTATATGTATAATAATGAAAATATTCTAAATAATAATAAATAATACTGGACAATTTACACAACTTGTGTTGTTACTATACAAGTGATATTAATACATATATATATATTTATAAATACAAACGTAATATACATAGAAAACGCCCAGACTGATACAAACAACCATACACGCGAATACAAATGTTTGCACCGTGCGAGGAATCGAATCCGCGACCATCGCGTAAAGTAAAGCGGTATCCAAACCGCTAGACCACCGAAGCAGCCAAATATTATTAATAAAAAGAACCAGTAATATTATGTCATGAAAATATAAATTATAAATTTCGTTTTGTACACACTAGTTTTCTTTGACTAAATGAAAGGAAACAAGATGTAATTACTCAAGAAAATCGCATTTCTTCCATTCCTTTCCACTGTAAGACATTTAATTACAAAATAACGCACAAGAACTTATATGTTCACACACTTAGATACTTCGACACAAGCCATGTTGGTTCATTTATACCTACTAAGAAAACTTAAGTTGTACTCGCCGTTCTAAAGTTGTGAATTAAATATGTTATTCCTCTTTAGCTTTACAGACTACAACTTGTTCTATGTCCAGGCTATTGCTTACATCTTGTTCAGTGTATATAATACGAAGACATTGGGTTGATACTATAGAGCTCTCCAGTACATTGTTAATGCACTGTCTTTTTAAATTTTTAACTACTTGGTATTTCAGTAAGAACCATAATAATTAATTGCCATTAGCAGTTGGCATTCTCGTTTGAATAGTAAAGTTATTATTAATATTTTTTGGACTAATGCTGTTGGCCTTTACAGCTTCACCGGACGATAGGGGGCGAGTGCAGATGGCATTGCAAACTTAAAGGAAAGGACTTATAGAATAGCTGAAGGCTAACTCCCGCCTGACGGATACACTGAGGGCACCGCTAGGAGTTCGAACCTCGGCTCAGGCCGTCGTGATTTGATCCCCGTTTGAATTGAAAGGGGAATCGATCGGAGGGGCGTACGGGAGAACTTAGGGGCAAATTTATTACGGAACCTTTTATTTTTCTATTCATGATTCTTATGAACGTTAAAGCTTCATATACTAATATATATTTTTTTGACATGGCATGTAATTAATAAGTACTAATTATTTTAAAAAAATTAAAGGAATATAATTTATAGCTATTTTTCTTAATTTCATATTCTCGCCAAGAAGCAAAGTACACACCTACGCTGGAAAGCAATTCGTTAATTTGTTGCAATGACGTTTTCATTTCAATTATAACCTTTCCTTTTTCATGTAAGGATTTCATGAGATTCTTTTCTTCGCGGTCTTCCGTATCTATTTGTGCTTGAAGATGATTCTTATCTTGGATATATCTATAAACATAGTAATATATTAAAAGAACAGCGGAGAATAGTATATATATATATATGTATAACAATCGTTTCTTGATTATTTTTTCTTTCAGATATCCAATACAGATTAGTGCTAGTTGATAGTTTGTATTCACACATTTTAACTTAAGGTTGTAAAGTTAAAATTAAATTATTTAAAAGCAATACATAAGAACGAGTTCTCGTGTTCTTTTTGTGATGAGATAGCATTTCGAATGAGCGGTAGATTAAAAAAAAGGTGATACTATAGAGCGTCATTGTAAGTTTATTTCAAACTAGCTGTGCCTGCGACTTCGTCCGCGTGGAAATTAACTTTATTTTTCTAAAATAAAAGTAGCTCAAGTTACTCCTTAATACATCACCTGCCAAAAAAAGTCCCGTCAAAATCGGTCCAGCCATTTCAGAGATTAGCCAGAACAAACAGACAGACAAAAATTATAAAAAATGTTAATTTGGTGTATGTACCGTATTTATATTCATATGCATGTAATAAAAAACAGTTATTTCAATATTACAAACAGACACTCTAATATTATTTATGATTTTTTATTCTATTCTATATCAGACAAAACGTGACTGCAAAACTCCGAGCACAAATTACTAATTGGGTATTAATTATAACGTGTTATTACGATTAGTTCCTTATTCCAGTATAACATATTCAACTAAAATAATATTTTCTCAGATTTCTATTAATTGTTCTATGGGTACCTACTCATATCCGGATATACATCCGCCATGGACGGGAAAACGAGCAATTCAAATTGTTTGTTTCACTAATAACGAGAGCTCTGGAATATTTTGAGTTAATTGGCTACCGTCTTAGAAAAAATATTACGTGATCATTAGAATAGATACCTAGTATCTAATCTAATGATCAATGTATATTTTACGAGGAAATTGTGTAATCTTACTAATAATATAAACACTTGTGAGTATAGATGGATGTTTGTTACTGTTTTACGCAATAACTTCTCAATAGATTTTAATGAAACTTATAATACAGCATATACAGTGGAATAACATATAGGCTATAAATATCAAGCGATTGAAATCGTGACCACAGCTGGTAGAATTTATTTATCTATAGGATCCCGAACTTAAAAGTACAATATGTTTGTCTATTCATCTATCTGACAGTCATACTAAATAGTAGGTAACTGTAACTATAACATACACCATATGTACTATTACTACAAGTAAAACTAGATATACATAGAAAAAATGGGCTGATTACGGTCATCAGGCTAATGTGAAGGTTTAAAATGAAAGAGTACCAATTCCGTGAAGGTCTTACGATAAATATGGTCATTTTTCGGGATCAGGACCAAAATAACTAATATAGAACTTTATTACGGAAACATTTATATCGCTTTGAATTTATGGCCATTATAAATGACGACGTCATTTGTTAGACAAAAGAATTACATAATAAAGTCAGTTGAATAGGTGTAATTAAGACAATAACTAGTAATAATATTAATTTATTTGTTGTTAATAATTAATGCAAATTGCATATACAATATAACATAACTATGTTCACGCAATGCAATAAAATTTCATTTCTTTTATTTCATTTCATTTCATTTATTTCACGTTTATCGGCAAGGAAATTGTTAATAATGTGGACTAATAACACCTTTACTATCAATATACCATGTCACGATGACGTCTACCTGAAAACGATCGTAATAAATTCATCGAGAATTTACCACGATGGACACGAGTACGAGGTCAGGTCAGGTATGTTTTTTCCTCAAGCTCATTATCATCAACTACCCCGCCAGCGTAAATAGTTATCACAGGCGAGTGCACCATGCCATTATCATCCATAAGAACTGATGGCGGGTGCACCATGCCATTATCATCCATAAGAACTGATGGCGGGTGCACCATTCCATTATCATCCATAAGAACTGATGGCGGGTGCACCATTCCATTATCATCCATAAGAACTGATGGCGGGTGCACCATTCCATTATCATCCATAAGAACTGACGGCGGGTGCACCATTCCATTATCATCCATAAGAACTGATGGCGGGTGCACCATTCCATTATCATCCATAAGAACTGACGGCGGGTGCACCATTCTATTATCATTCATAAGAACTGATGGTAGGTGCCCCATTCCATTATCATCCATAAGAACTGACGGCGGGTGCACCATTCCATTATCATCCATAAGAACTGACGGCGGGTGCACCATTCCATTATCATCCATAAGAACTGATGGCGGGTGCACCATTCCATTATCATCCATAAGAACTGATGGCGGGTGCACCATTCCATTATCATCCATAAGAACTGATGGTGGGTGCACCATTCCATTATCATCCATAAGAACTGATGGTGGGTGCACCATTCCATTATCATCCATAAGAACTGATGGTAGGTGCACCATTCCATTATCATTCATAAGAACTGACGGCGGGTGCACCATTCTATTATTATCCATAAGAACTGATGGTAGGTGCACCATTCCATTATCATCCATAAGAACTGATGGCGGGTGCACCATTCCATTATCATCCATAAGATATGTTTATTTTTATATCTAAGTGTATTAGTCTTCCATTATCTTATTTTAACATTTCGAATAACGGGCTCATCGTGGAAAGATCCATACAAACTATAGCAAACTATAGTTTCAGAGTATTGACGATAGGGAATCTCCTATCTCTAACACTGTGTATATGAATATGAAATATATTCACTGCGGAAGTTTGCGAAGGTCTAACTACTGCAGTCGGGTATCTCAAACAGTTATTAAAAGTTTCTTCAGTCAGCAATTGTCTATTCGTAGACAACAGAAACTATTTACCATCAGACAAATCAAGTATCTGATACCATTGTAGTTGTATAAAAATGTACATATGTATCACTAACTGTGCCCGCGGCTTTGTCTGCGTGGAATAGTGACTAGATACCAAATAAAGAAAAAAATATTTAATGAAACCAAAAAAAGTCAAAGAATAAAGATACATCGTTGTAGCTTCAAAAATGACGAAATCCATACAAGCTTTCATGTCCTATTTTATTTTATCCCTTTAAGGGTAATTATAATACAAACATAGAATGTTATATATATTCATATTTAATCAACACCTTAAAAAAATCATTCATTCGGTTTCATAGTTCTATGACAATACTTTCATACAACCTTTCATCTCCTATTTCAACCCCTTGCAACCTTTATTTCGCAGTAAAACGTAGCCTATGTACTTTCTTACGATTTAGACTATGTGTACCAAATTTCATTTAAATCGCTTGGGCGTGAAAGCGAGACAGATAGACATTTATATTATTAGTAAAGATTGGAATTATCTCCAAATATGTAGTTCCTCGTAGTTCAAGCGATTTACTTTTTTACAAAGAGTTTTACTTATAAAAATGCAATCCTTATACAATAAAAAAAAATTGTCACGCTATACTGGGTCTCCCAAATTCTTCTATTAAATAACCGAAACTGTATATATCTTTCAATATATATATAATAAAACTATATATTTGTATATAATGTTAAAATACGCACTAGTCTCATTGTATGCTGTTAAACAAAAAACTTTGACTTACAACATCCTGTTTAGTTTCATGTTTGAAGTTCTGAAAAGAGATCCCTTGTGAAGCGGACAGCTGGTACGTAAGTAATACTAGATAAATATATATTACACTAGCTGTAGTCGCGACTTCGTCCGCGTTGAATTTAACTTTATTTTTCTAAAATAATAGATTATGCTAAAATAAAAGTAGCCTAAGTTAGGTACACCTTATTACATCAGCTATCTGGCAAAAAAAGTCCAGTGATGTAATAAGGAGTTACTTATTTTATTTTAGAAAAATAAAGTTAAATTCCACGCGGACGATTTCGCAGCAGCAACAGCTAGTTTTAAATAAATAAATACACAGTAACAAGTAAGATGTCGCATACATCATACAGAATCAACATAGAAATCACTACGCACTGATTCTTTGAGCAATCAGATAATATATCTTCAATTCTATAGTAAATTTAATTGAATCTTTTTTAGGCCAGGTTTAGAACTTAAGTTTACTAAGATAGTTTGTTGTTAAACCTTACGCAATTACCATAAAAAATAATTTGTTATTATTACGTAAACTTTTATTACTGTAACAACTAATTCTTTTGAAATTGTCTATAATTTTTCTGGCATACATAATATACATATTACAGTTCAAAATTCTAAAATTCATATATTCATGTAGGACATTTTAGCCGCTTATGAACTAACTAACTTATATTTTTTTCCTTACTAGTTCAGTATACAGATACAATTGAGAGCTGGCATCAATTGCAATAGGATAAAAAATAGGACAGTCAATTGATTTTTATCAATTGACTATCCTATTTTTGTTTTCAAAAGCCAGTTTATCTACAATAGGTGTTTATGTCTAATATTAAATGCATGAACTACTATTGCACGTTGCCCGTTACGTATATACTTATACATGTATACATATATATATTTTACAGCGTAAAGAACTAACGAGTTTGCGGCTCACCTAATGGTAAATGATTACCGCCGCCCATGAGCACCCGCAACTCCAGGGGAATTGCAAGCGAAACTATCTTTTCTTGTTTAATTAAGTATAGCATTCGTGATTTGACTTCTAGTGTTTAGTACCATGCTCTTCTGTTCAATAATGCTATTTAATGAAATAAATATTTTAAAATAATCGTTACCTATTTTTAGTCGAATTATGTGTAAGTTTCTGGAAGTCAATTTCACAACTTGATGGATTTATATTTTTTTTTAAATCCGCTACAATACTTAGACTTCATCCATCAAGTAGTAATATTTGTGTTACGGGGCGTCAGCAGCAACGAGAGATTATTAATTTATTTTTTCACTTATATGTATTTTTCACTTCAAGCATCTAAACCGAACTGGTCTGTGCATACAATATAGTGGTTATTTTTAAAGTCAATAGGTAGGTGGGACTGTTATGGTTGAATCAGAA